GACAGTGGAGCAGCTTGGCTGGAGCAGAGGATATCTAATGTGGATACAGGCATGATGTAAATTTGGAGATAGAGGTCAGCAGCACAGCATGTGGAGCCTTCATTGCCTCTAGCCTCTACTGTGGATTTTAAGGAAGAAAAAGTTTAAGGGATAATTTTAAAAACCTGATTCCTCTCTTTTTGTCAATATAGGAGCACTTATGTAGGGTGTGAGTAGAAAGAAAATAGGTGGAAAGAAAATCCTCTGAAATCAGGATAGAACCAGCATAATTTTGGAAGCTCCTTATATTTATAAAATTAAATTTAACAGGTAAAATTTTCTAATGTTTATAAAATAAAAGGTAATCCAAGCATGACATATTGCTTCCCTATCTTCTAAATATAAAATAAATTTTTTTTAAGTTAGTAAAATAAACTATCCTTCTTCTCCCTCAGTTTATTTGACCCTGTTTTCCCAGCCTGGAATATTTTCATTCCCAGCCCATTCAGGCATTAAGCATACAAATCCTTCCTAACCCTGCACTCTGAGCCAAGCATGTCCTCTCATGCTTAAGGAACTGTGTAAATGAATACATTAGAATTACTGTGTTCATACCATATAGACCTACTAAACAGAAACTTGATAGAGGTTTTCCCAAAATTGACAATGGTCCTAAAAGTTTGTTGACCTTACCAACAATGAGAAATGAAGCTGAGAAAAAAAAAAAAAATCTAAACTATTAGACATGCCCCCAAACCAATGTCATCATCATGCTAGAGGAGTCTAAAATATCTCTACATTCTTCTTACATACAATGATACTATAGAATTCTCAGAAGAATCAATTGAAGATTATACAGCCAAAATTGTAGAAAGAAAGTATTAGAGAGATTTGTCAGATAGTTAATTTTACATTGTTTTCCTGAATGTCAGATTCTTTGTTGTATTTGTTAGCTTTAAAATTATGTGATTGCTTTTGATTGATTTGTTCATTCTAAATGCACTTTTGTAGCCAATTTTTTAGTTAGAATTTCATAATCTTTTTAATATCAAAAACTCCCAAATTTATAAGCCTAAAAGATTGTCTGTCTCTGCTTGAACTGACAACAAATTATCAATTCTGCTTAAAATTTTGTTTTGAATTGTGATTTTAAAAATCATTCATATGCCTGAGACATAAATTAAATTGTGAAATGTTGAGTTCAAAAACATTGAAAAATGCATGAGCATAGGTAGGTGTTTATATATTACCTTAAAGGGTAACTAATCCTAAGCTAAGAGTTGGAACATACTATGACCTATGCATCCTATGACACCTTTAATTGTAAGCTTTTGTGACCAGTTCTTATTCTTAAAAAATTTAGACTAAGTGGATGATAATTGCATGATTATTCAAATTCTCAAAAAAAGCAACAAAAGAGACATTTCCTGATATAAGATTATATATCATAAATTATAGTGCTTAAATGGATGATTTTTTTTCTCAGTAAACCATTCAGTGCAGTCAACTTTATCCATCAAGAGAGGGAGCATGGGGCAAATGGGTAGAAAGAGGTGGGGAGAAAGCAGACACTAGTTCCTTCATATTACATTGAAGCGCTTTTATTGCTGTTTAGCAATAAGACAAGACAGTCCAGTAATAAGGAATTCCATTATATTCATATGTTGATATGCTTTATACATCTACTTTTCTATTTTCTTGTGCATTTTATCTCTTTTTGTGAGTCCTTTAAGTATAATTCTCTCATCTTCTTTGGTACATCCTCAAGCATCTTTGAAAAAGATAATGTCATGGGAAACATCCACTAGAAATGAAAGTCCAAGTCTTAGCCAGCTAAGCAGATAAGAGCCTATAAAAATGCTACATCATTTTATTCCAACTGAATAGAATTTCAACATATATTTGTCTTTTAATCATTCTAAGTAACATATTATGGAAATGATATAGACTAAACACAAGTAGTGCTAAAATAAATTCTATAAGTAGTTCTGGCAGTGTAATAGTTACTTTCCTAGCCAGCTTAGCTGTGTACATAATGGGGGTGGCTGTGGCTTCTGCTGAGGCTCTTCACACTCAGAGCTGCAGCTTATGGTGGGAAAAATGAAGGCCAAAAAGTGGAGAGCAGAGAAGATATGCTGAATGTAAAAAAGGAAGGTGCAGGTAGCTGTTTAAGACCCAAGATATTTTATTATGTAAACTTAAATAAGAAGAAAATAGTCTTAGAAAAGAATTCCTGACAGAGAATTTGGAAAGCCACTATACTGAAATTTAAGTAGCCTTAACAAGACATCTGAAGCCCTAATACTTATAAGCATATCATTGTATTTTATATATTAATAAAATAATTCTCTTGATACCTATGTTGTCTCTCAAATCTAAAATGAAAACAACTTGTGTAAAAACCCATATAACTAGAACACTGGTTTGACATTAGTTCTTTACTACTTAAATAAAATTATATGCTACAATATAAAATGACATTAATTTTTTGTCATTTTGATACTGTGTACTATTGATTGGTGTTTACTTTGAATAAGAATCATGTGGTATAATAGGGAAGCAATTTCTACAAATATATTACCTCTTTAAATCAAAACATTGTTTATATACAACTGTGATAACAACTGGAGTAGCTTTAGAGAAGTAGGCCACTTGGTCTTAACCCCTAGGGTTCTGAAACAAATTAAAGATACAAGAGTTTGCTTGCCCTTAATTGAGTATGAGTGCAGCAGTGGAAAAGGTCCCAATATGTTTATGGTTTTATTAGAATACTTCCAGGAAACATAAACCTATTCAGATAGAGGCATTTTTTTTAAAATCTGGAGAATTTCCAGGGGGTAGAGAGTTCTAGGAAAAAATCAAAACACTGGATTATCTGAACATCTAAGCCTCCAGAAGTCAAGAACCAAGTCAGTTCAGGGAAGGTTATCTGCAGCAATGTGTGGTGGCCACTCATGCTAGTTTCCTGACACTAATGTGACTTAGCCATCTACATATGCTAGTTTCTTACCATCCTGCCACATTCTCCAGAGTCCTAGCAGAAGTATCTAATTGGCTGTCTGTCCATATTATGGATTGGTTATACCTGTTGGGTTAGGTGCAAGCTGCGGTAGTCTAGGAGGCAAGGTCTTTTAATATACTGGACTAACTTGCTAGGTGGGGCATAGCAGGTCAAGCTGGGAAAGAATTTCAAGCATAGTAGATGGCTGATATATTGAGTAAGGGCTTAATCCATAAGCTCATAAGGGGAGCAATTCTGTCTGATGAAAGATCTGTGGAAGGCATCATGGAAGAGATGCATTTAAATAGGATTGTAGAGGTTGAGTTGGAATTAGCTATCAAGTAAACAGGTGAAGAAGGAGAGTACTCTAGGTAGTGAAACGATTTGAGCCAAATGGTACAGGTTTGTGCTTGGCACTCAGGTAGATCAGTCTGGCTCAGCAATTCTCACTGTAGCTGCCCTGAATCATCTGAGCAGCCCATGTGGATGCCTGGGCTTCAACCTAGACAAATTGAAACAGAATCTCTGGGGTTTGTGGTCAGAGGTATGCAGTTTCTTAACATTCTCCAGATGATTCTAATGCAAAGAGTATTGAGAACCACTGAATGAATGTCTAGAGACTACAATACTTTATGAGTTTATGAAGTATAGTTGGAAAAGGATGTTTGAACATGACTGGGGGCTCTTATGTATCAGGCTAAGGACTTTTTTAACTATATTCTATAAGTAATAACATTAGAATGCACTATTTTATTAGTTTCTACTCTTTTCTGAGCCCAGTATAGTTGGATCTATTTAGAGTTCTTTCAGTTCAGTAGATGGGGGTAGGGGAAGTGGGTAGGTTATGGGATCTAGGCGTATATCACCTATATAGCTCATGGTGCTCATTAAAAATACTGTTTATCTAGTAGCTCCATTAAAAATAGGCAAAAGACATGAACAGGCATTTCTGAAAAGAAGACATATAAGCAGACAACAAACATACTGAAAAATGCTCCACATCACTAATCATCAGAGAAATGGAAATAGATACTATCTCATACCAGTCAGAATGGCTAATCATCAGAGAAATGGAAATAGATACTATCTCATACCAGTCAGAATGGCTAATCATCAGAGAAATGGAAATAGATACTATCTCATACCAGTCAGAATGGCTAATCATCAGAGAAATGGAAATAGATACTATCTCATACCAGTCAGAATGGCTATTATCAAAAAGTCAAAAACAAACAAACAAAAACACCCACAGATGCTGCAAGGCTACAGAGAAAAGGGAATGCTCACACACTGTCGGTGAGAATCTATAATAAATTAGTTCAGCCACTGTGGAAAACAAATTGGAGATTTCTCAAAGAACTCAGAACTGTCATGCAACCCAGCAATATCATTACTAGGTATATATCTGAAAGAAAACAAATCATTCTGACAAAAAGATACATGGACTCACATAATTATCACAGTACTATTTACAATAGCAATGATATGGACTCAACCTAGGTGCCCATCAACAGTGGACTGGATAAAGAAAATGGGGTACATATAGCCCTTGGAATACTATATAGCCATAAAAACGAATGAATTAATGTTTGCAGCAATGTGGTTGCAGCTGGAGGCCATTATGCTAAGTGAATTAACACAGGAACAGGAAACCAAATACTGCATGTTCTCATTCATAAATGGGAGCTAAACATGAGGTACTCATGACATAAAGATGGCAACAATAGAAACTAGAGACTACCAGAAGGAGGAATAAAGAGAGGCAAGGGTTAATAAACTATTGGGTACTATGTTCATACCTGGGATGGGATCATTCATACATCAGACCTCAGCATCATATAATATACCCATGTAAGAAACCTACACATGTACCCCTGAATCTAAATAGAAGTTAGAGGGAAGAAAAAATACTGTTTATACACTGCTTCTCTTCTGTAGGAGTGGATATTCTCATTCCAGATTTAGTTTTTCTAAGCAGAATGTATCGAAGTTTTGTAATGATTCTTTCTTCTCTCTTTAGGGGAGTAGGTTGCATCTTTGTTGAAATGATCCAAGGAGTTGCTGCTTTTCCAGGAATGAAAGACATTCAGGATCAACTTGAACGAATATTTCTGGTAAGTCCTTTACAGAGTATTTATGAGAAAAATTGATTTCTAATTCTATAGCAGTCTGGAAAATAATTTAAAACAAATTTGTTGTCACATTTAGTTCTAACATGTTTTGCACCTTTGAAAAAGCAGGAAATCAGGTAAGAATTGTGTTTTACTACTGTACATGAATAACATGTCAAAATGATAGGAATGAATAGGGCATGAGAGGCAATATAGAGAAAGTAATGAGTTAAAAATGAGGGCTCTGACAGAATTCCAAATAATTAATGTAGATACCCCCTCTCCTTCAAGCAGGTGGAGTTTAACTCTCCCAGCCCCCTTTACTGTGAACTTTGATAACTTTTTTCCATAAAGCCAAACATGGAAAGTGGGAAGATGGTGACTTTCAGTGGAGACACCAGTTAAACAGTACTTCAGTCAGGTCTTCAAGGCTATCATCATAAAAATAGGTCATGTTGTTGGTGTGTACCCTTGATATGATGTGTTGATAATGGCACCTCACCTCTGTGGTCTTCCTCCTCAAACCATAACCCCAGTTAAATTGTAAAAGATATGTCACACAAGCCAAAAATGACAGACATTCTATAAAATACATGACTAGTGTTCTTCAAAACTGTCAAAGTCATTCAAAATGAGGAAAGATTGAGAAACTGTCATAAATCACAGGAGGCTAGGGTAGACATGACAACTCAGTGTAATGTGGTCTTCTGGATGAAATATAGGAAAGAAAAACATTATTATGTATGTTGTTTAGTTAATATCAATGTACCAATGTGAGTTTCCTAGCTGTGATAAATATACCATATTACATAAGATTTAACTAGAGGAGGAAACTGGGCGAGGGGTATACATGAGCTCTCTGTATTATGTTTTGTAACTTTTCTGTAAATCTTAAACTATCCTAAAATTAAAAGCTTATTTAAACTTTTGAAAATATGTCCAAAGTAAGTGTTCTGGAGCCAGACTATCTGGGATTATCACCCTTCTCTGTCACTTTTTAACTATGGGATTTTAAGCAAGGGACTTACTAGCTCTCTGAGCTTTAGTTTTCTCATGGGTGAAATGAGGGATAATAATAGCACCTTCTTCATAGGTGGCTTTGAAGAATAATTGACTAACATTCGAAGTTCTTTTAGGACTCTGCTTGGCACATAGTAAATACTTTACATGTATAAAAATCGTTGTAATTTTCATTACATCATTTTACGCCAAATATTTTTATTCAGTAGAGTTTCTATCTTAGCTAATATTCATATAAACCTATTATTTACAACATGAAATCAGAGTTAGACAAATTTAGTAAGTGCAACATTAAAATACAGCTATTATATTAATATGAATAGAATAGAATAGAAACTGCAGAACATAGTGATATAAACTGAGTCTCCATCATATTGTGTTCCCTTTACTGTCAGCAATAAAGTAAAAAAAGAAGACTGGAAACTAGGAAATTAAAGCATGTGTGACTCCTCCACACAGTAGTCTATATCTCTGTGAATCTTTGTGCACTAACAACAAATGGACAATCAGCAAAGTCCCTAACATAGAAACCTTCCTCAAAGTGTTGTCCTGTTGGTTTCATTCTGTCAGAAACCATCTGTGTCCACTTCCTTTCAATTTTATTTTATTTGATATCTACAAATGCTTATACACAAATGTTAACGTGATTATAAAAATAGTATGTCTTTATAATGGAAAATTCCTACAATGTCAAAATGAATACAAGCTAAAAAATTACCCTTTGTCCTACTACCCAGAGAAAACCACATCTAGTATTTTGACATATATCCTCTATAGATATTTTCCATACATATTTGAAAAGATTGAATTATATCTTGTGTATTCTTTTGGAACCAGCTATTTTCACTGAACAATTTGTAATTGACACCTTTCAATGACAGATAAATTCAGAAACCTATCATCATTCTTAATGATGGGGAGTGTTTCATTGTATGGATGAGATATTATTTTCTTAACCAGCCCAATATTGACAGCTTGTTTACAGTTTTCCACTATAATAAGATGCTGCCAGAAACATTCATTGCACAATCATCCTGTTAGTTAAGAATTATTATAAGAAGTACTTATTTTAACAAAATTTAATTTTCAAAAATGTATTGAATATTTCTTCATGTCCATCCCTTCATTTAAATTCATGAAACCCTCTCTTCTGTCTGCTCTCAAGAAAATATTTCTTATTTGCTTTATTGAGATTATACTGAGTCTATAGAAATAATACAAAATTGTACTTTCTTATCTAAGATTAAGTTATTCAATTTTATGGCTGTTACCATAAATGTACAGTTTTTATAAACATGTTTCTTTGTTCTACTCAAGACTTTATTCAAATTTAATTCTTTTAAATAACGTTTTCACAATAATTTTCTTTTGTTTTTTGTTTTATTTATTTATTTATTTTTATTGTATTTTAGGTTTTGGGGTACATGTGCAGAACATGCAAGATAGTTGCATAGGTACACACATGGCAGTGTGATTTGCTGTCTTCGTCCCCTTCACCCACATCTGGCATTTCTCCCCATGCTGTCCCTCCCCAGCTCCCCCCGCCTCACTCCCCCTCAGCTCCCCTCCCCAGCTCCCCCCGCCTTGCTGTCCCTCCCCTATTCCCCCCAACAGACCCCAGTGTGTAGTGCTCCCCTCCCTGTGCCCATGTGTTCTCATTGTTCATCACCCACCTATGAGTGAAAATATGTGGTATTTCATTTTCTATTCTTGTGTCAGTTTGCTGAGAATGATGTTCCCAGATTTTCTTAAAAATATAAACTTTTCCATATATTTTATATTGACAAAAATAGCCTAGAGGAAATTCTAATGGGCTGTAGTTTATATAAGTTTTTATGCAAAAACATATCTCCAAATACTTAGCATTTTTATTTATGGAAAGCTCATGTATAATACTAATAATAGTATCACTAAATTATATTCTGAGCATAATTTTCTAAGCTTTAGACTCCACTTTTCACTCTTTAATAGCTGTTGAAGAATAATTATGTAACCCTGTCAAATTACTGATTTATGCTAGAATTATTACTCTACTGTATTTGAAAGCAGAAAACTTTAAAAGGGGTATTATACTGAAAGAAATAGCTCTACTTATATATTACTTTAGGTTAAATATAAAGGGAAAGAAATGGTTATATAAGAGATACATTATACATCAAAAGAACCAAAAATATGAGTTTTATAAAAGCATAATTTATTGACGTAGCTTAGTCAGAGCTTTCATTTGAAATCTTTGTTTAACAGGAGTAATTTCCATTGGGTAATATCTTGTTGGATTACTTCCTGTATGAAATTTTTGCTATTATTTCTTAATTTTATGGCATTAGGTTCCTAATTTTATGGGTATTCAGAAACCTTTGAGCTATAACTAGGCTTTTAATAAGTCAGAGAAATAAATCATTTTGAATTTCCTATGGGATTATTGATGCACTAAACTACCATTGCTCTCATTAGCACACAGAGACCCTCAGATGCAGATAAGTATCATGATTTATGGCAATAACCCTTTCATTTACTGTAGTTATTTTACACATGTAATGCCTCTTACAGTAAAATGTCCTTTGATAATTAGGAAATGAAGATCATCATCTATATAAAATTACTGCTTTAGAATTAAATGATGTTATGTTTTGCCCTGAAGAATTAGACAAAGCCAGATGAAGAGAAATCTAAAGACTTCTTTTGACATTAAATGTTAAAATATTTTATTTTCTCTACTGGATTGTTTGAATCTGCAAATATTAGCTATATATCACACAAATAGTGTCTCTCAGGACTGGTATGATCATTGGAGGAGGAAATTTTACAAACCCAGTATGCTTAAATCACTGAGAAAAAGAAATGCTTTTCCTCTGTGACCTTTAATGTCTAGTCTGAAGAGAAATGACTATTAAATCGTGATTAAATTTGCTTTAACAGACCTCTAATATAAACTGCCAGAGACTCTTTTCTAAAGTGGCAGTTGTATATTTGGCCTCTGGTAAAGCATTGCCAAGGAGATAATCAACCTTGAAAAGTCATGAAACGGGATTATTTGGTTTGTTTTGTGTTTTAATATGAGGATTAAGTTCATTCATTTGCCTGTGAACTGTATATAGAGAGGTGATTAATAACTTTGAAACACAAAATTAATAGCTTGTTACCCAAGACAGCTAATATAATTAGCTCCCACACACTGAGTCTTTATAAAATATGTGAAAGGAAACAAAGATCAGTTTGTAAAGGTCTTTACGTTTTTCTTCCTAAGGTTCTTTTTGCCCTATTCTCTTTTTTCCTTTGGTTGAAGGGAGCAGTCACAATTTTAGCAGGTTCAACGAATTCATTTCTGGAACATGATAACCATGTTCATATATATAAGGTGAGCTGGGATATGCTACAATTTGAAATTTCACCATTAAATCATTTTCCTTGACATTGTCATACTTATATGCAAGAAAGGAAGGAAGATGATGGAATTTTGATAAATTACATTCAAGACATTTTGAATTGCCAGGTAAATAGGCACCTATTTCTCCAAACAGTAACTCTGCTCTTAGGTGGAAAGAGTATTTATTTTCACTTCTTTAGCACTACTTATTTTTTAATGTGGCCCAGTGTATTCTATTCACCTCCATTAGTTGGAAAATAAGCAGAAAATGCATTCATCCAGGTGAATTTATATTCAGAATGACATAATCACAACTAATAAAAAATTTGTATTCTAATCATATTATTCTGAATCAAAAAAAGAAGGGTACTTGGTGCAACCCTGGGAATATGTGTCTCTCTCACTTCAAACCAGCTGAGCAAATGGCAGGGAATGCTTGCACAGCTGCCTGAAACCTTTGGCAGATGCTTCTGGGTCTCTGTGGCTCATGGCCCACTGTATAATAGTTATGACAAAGGAGCTGGCATGATTCTCTTTTTCAGATCTGTTCTTTTTCTCTCTGTCTTTGAATGTTGATAACCCTGACAATCACACCTTTCCTTGTCACCTGAGTCTC